TNCAATACAATACAATATCATACAATACAATACAATACAATATCATACAATGCAATACAAAACGATACAATACAACAGTACAGTGATAATAACGACGGTGATAACAAATTACGGATTCAGAAACCTTATAAACATCTTCATTATCAGCGCAATCTTCATTATCATCTTCAGCATCGTCGCCATCATCCTCATCATCATCATCGCTACGTTTGATTTGCTTCTTGTGAACCTGTACCGTCCCTGACCATGGCAACTTTACGTTACTTGGCTTCAAGTCAGGGTTGCACATGATTGCTACTTCTAGGTGCGAGCTAATTGTGAGAAACGATGATGTCATTCGGTTATGATGCCATGTGGTGATGATGTGATGTGACGAGGTACATACACACAACGATGGTGTAATTGTGATGATTCTTTCTATGGTGTGATGGTGGTTGGTGATGTTGTCAAAGTTTTGACGTTACGATGTGGTACTGTGGCTGGCCATATAGACCCGAGATGACGTAATGACAATATGATTAAATGATCTAATGATTAGGTGATGATAAGATACATACGTAAGCATAAGATGGCGATACTTCATTGATAGCAAGTTACTTCAAAACTTACCAGAACATTTTATGTTGATTAAAGACAAACTAAAATGAATATCAAAAACCTAGAGACGAAACTTCAAAGGTATGTACAACTAAAACGTTAAAACGTCTAGAATCATTAGATAGATTGCTTTTTAAATTGTTCATATTTTTATTCGTTTTGTATTGTTTAGATTTCGCAAAATTTGTTAAAGTTTGTTTCGAATAATAATAATAATAATATAAATAATAATATAAATAATAACAAACAGACCCTGGTCCAATAGAACCGAATTCTGGCGACACAATAAGAAACTGCCCTGACCTAAATATGTCGAATCTGTTGTAATGGCGGTTATTATTATTATTATGTAATAACAATAATAACAACAATAATTATTATTATTATAACTATTATCATTATTACTAATTTTATGTTTAAGGACCAGTAAGTTCACCGTCATTAATAATAATATTTTTAGTTTTATGCTGATTGTCCAGACGACAATAGTAATTTTTCTTCTTCTTATTAATTATTATTAATAATTTATTTATTACAAATAAATAATTAAAAAATCATATACTAAATAAATAATTATAGACATTTAATACAATAATTATTCAGCATTACAATAGTCATGATGCAATCATCTTACTAACAACATGGCATGGTTACTAGCGTTCGAAATGATTATGGTCCTCTGCTCTGGATTGCGTTAAATAAATGAAAAATAATAAACAACAACAACAATAATAATAATTATTATTATCAACAGTATTATTATTATTAATGTTATTATTACTATTATCATTAATATTTAATACTATAACTGAAAATTGTAAAATGCAGAGAGTCTTAAATTAAACTTGACAATGAAGTGCATCACTAGATAACTGTTGCCTATTTATAAAAATGATTAATGGTTAAAATTAATATAAAATAATAATAATAATAAAACGAATAACAACAATAATAATAATAACCCAAAGAGCTGAAGTTTAGCTTGATTGCTTTAGGCCTGACATCCCAGCCTGTAGCTGCATCCATGCATATGTCAGGCACCTCATACTTCATTGCCACATTATTATTATTATTGTTGTTGTTATTATTAGCTCTATTTTTATTTTTGCTGCTACTGTCGTTATTATTCTGCCTCACGCCGCCAACGTCCTCGTAAATTATTGGCAGTGATGATGATGATGGTAGAGATGATGATGGTGATAGAGATGATGATGATAATTGTGGTAACAACGATGATGATGGTAATAATAATGACGATGATGATGATTGTGGTGGTGGTGGTGGAAGCAACGAATACGGCGTCGAAGCATGATTACCAGTATAACGTTGAGCGAGGCCAGACGACGATGATGACAACGACGATGATGATGGTAGCATCATTCCAGCCACTGTGACAGATGAACGAGATATCGATGATAATGATGATGATAACGATGGTAATGATGATGGCGGAGCTGATGATGGCATTGGCTGGGATGACGATGTCGACGATGAAGATGATGAAGTTACGGCCATGTGAGCAGCGATGTTATCAGATCTAGCTGACTGCTCTTTCATCGGTGGTGAGTTAGACCTTCAGAAGAATTCAAGACAACGAATAAAATTAAAATTGAATAAATGCTTTGTATTTATCAGACTGTGATACAAGAAAGTGGAATATTATCACTCTATCAGTAACATCAACACATCCGCTAGTTAAAACATAGCATGGAAATGAGTTACGTATCTTTGAAACGTTAATTCAATTAATTAATGGATGGTTGGATGAGTAAGTGAATGAATAAATGAATGAAAGGATAAATGAATGAATGAATGGATGGTTGAGTGAGTGAATGAATGAAAGAATGAATAAATGAATTAATGGATGGATGAGTGTTCATGTCCAAGGCAGGATTCTGAAGTCCGAACGCCCAGAGACAACAAAGAAGCATGACCGTTATATTTTTAGAATTAAAGAAGCAGTTTTTTATCAAGTCTTTCGTGAATCCATTGGCAACAAATGAAATTAATTCAGCCAAAGTGATAGTGCAAATCAGCTGCCTCTCAAAAGCTGAAATAATTTGTTAGTTGAGTGATTAAACAGTTTTTCGAAGTTTCTCTAAATCGTCCAAAAAACCACAGCGTGTTGTGATGAAACGAAGGGCAGCAGCGAGAAGGCAAGTTTTAAAAACAGGCACTCGGAAGACGGCGAAACTTTCTTTCTTGCAAGGGTTACCAAACGAAAATTTGAATGATCATCAATAAAAAAACTTCCACTCGACGATCAGAACTATTTCAGGACCATGAAGTATTGATTTTTTTTCAGTCTAAAAATTATCGGCGTTATCAAGTCCGAAACTTACTCAGCATCCATCATGA